TTCTCTTGCGTTCTTCTCTATTTTTGTCAATTGAACCCAACCTGCAAAATAATCAATATTCTGCCCGGCGTCAAAAAATTTCTAGACAAATATTTTTCCTGGAATTCATTTTCTTTCCACCCTTGCAATCAAACGCACCCTTAGATTTTAGTAATTAGAATTTATTAGTAGGGATATGAATTTTAACGATTATATATGTACTATCGTAGGATATATACCTGTTTGTCTACCGTTATTTCAAAAAAACTCTCAAACTCATTATAAGTGTGAACATGACTAAGAAAAAGGCTTCGTTTCAATTATTTTCAACCGAAACCATTGACTCATATGTATGGCCAAATTATCATTTGAAACTTTAGATGTGCAGCAGCCTAAGAAAAGTTATGTTTATGTAGCTTCGTGAAGCTCCAAGCTATGGCGTTTCTTTTTGGAAATAATAAGCATAGTACTATACATTTACGCACAAAAAATATCTTTATATTAATAACAACCTTAGCATTAATCCTCCTCACAGTTGTCCGTTTAGATTGCCCTTTCCTTTCTGAAATTTCCCCCACATACCATGGAAAGAATGAATCAATAAATTTCGAGGATCGAAATGAAAAGTGCGACATTTTTACTGGAGAATGGATTCCGAATCTTGAGGCACCATACTACACAAATACGACGTGCACGGCAATACATGAGCACCAGAACTGCATGAAATATGGAAGGCCGGATGAAGAGTTCATGAAATGGAAATGGAAGCCTGATGGTTGTGATTTGCCTGTTTTCGACCCGTATGAGTTTCTTGAAATTGTCAGGGGCAAGTCCATGGCCTTTGTTGGAGATTCTTTGGCAAGGAACCACATGCAATCCTTGATCTGCCTCTTATCCAGGGTAAATTACATTCAACTATGTGTTATTTTTTTTAATTTTTATGAATAAATAAATACGTCTCATATAGGCGGGTACGAATAGAACTGGATAACGAATGAATATTTCACATAAATATCTTGTTTGATTTCAGGTGGAGCATCCCATCGAAGCACATTTCAATGGTTCGAAGTATGTGAGTTACAATTTCACAATTGCCCGGTTTTGGTCACCCTTTCTCGTGAAGTTCAAAGAGGAAAACTCCGATCTTTTCAATCTCTACCTCAATGAATTTGATGAATCCTGGACAAACTATATAGATAAATTTGACTACATTATGCTCAGCGCCGGGCATTGGTTTCGCCGGCCAGCCATGTATTACGAGAATCACCAGCTCGTGGGGTGCAACTATTGCAAAATTCCGAATGTCACCAACTTTTGGATAACTTATGGCTACGAGAGGGCGTTCAGAACAGCTTTTAAAGCTATAAATACATTAGAAAACTACAAAGGGATAACATTTTTAAGAACTTTTACACCATCCCACTTTGAAAATGGGGAGTGGAATACTGGTGGGAATTGTATAAGACAAAGACCATTTAAAAGAAATGAGAGTGCTTTGGAAGGTATGAATATGGATCTTTACATGACTCAACTGAAGGAATTTAGAGTTGCAAAAGTTGAAGGGAAGAAGAAGGGATCGAGATTTAGATTGATTGATCCAACACGAGCTATGCTATTAAGGCCAGATGGGCACCCCAGTAAATATTGGCATTGGTTACCTGAGAATGTGAATGCAAACAATGATTGTGTACATTGGTGCTTGCCTGGACCTATTGATTCTTGGAGCGATTTCTTGTTTCATCTGTTGAAGATGGAGGGTAGGAGGGTAAAAGTTTCTCTTGCTTGACCAAAGTGATATTGATATTGATTATAATTTTTCTTGTATTTATTAGTTTTAAACAAAAATGATTTTATTATATATCTCTAAGAGTATATAGTAGTATGATGAGCAGCGAATTTTGTAGCCGCTGTCTGTAGGGCTAGCCCTTGGAGGTGAAATATTGTCGGTTTTAACTCAAATTTTAGATGGTGAAATAAAAATATGCTCTACAATTTCGTCCAACGCCTTTTTCAATTATAAGTTGAAATCTTAGCACTTTAGAGTGCAGGAAAGCAAAAAATTTCGGTGTTCGGCTCACTTACGTTAACACTCATGGTTGGGGGCACTATAGATTGAAGTGATTAGCTAGTAGATAATTGGTTGCTTAGTAATTACTTTAATTGGCTTGCTAATTGAACTTCATCTAAAGCTAATTTGGCATTATATACTAGGATATAATTTGTATCATATGAATTATTACTATCTATTCACTTGATTTTAAATAATTGTTTTTTGAAAAATAAAAAACATTGAAATATTTGATTGATCTGAATAATTATTTTTTTCCCAGAGTATGCGGGATAATTAAAAAGAATTACTAGAAGAAGGTGACAAAATAGAGGGAATCTAAATGTGGGAACGTAAGTTCCTGTACAATTACTAGGTCTAGAAATTTGAAACAGATAATTGTTTTCATAGAGTTGGTCACCAACCCTTTACCCAACACACGACTAAGCTGGCCATGTTTGAAAAGCAAAATTTTCCTTGGAATTTGGAAAATATTTTCCTTTTCCTTGATTTTGGCATGTTTGATCTACAAAATTTTTTCACCCATTTCTTTTTCCTGGCAGCTGCTTCACGCGCCTTTATTCCTTGGTTTTAATGAAATCATTTTCCCACCAAAAATGATTTTTCAGGCAGCTGTTCAATTTTTTATTTTTTATTTTTTATTTTGCAATGGGAACAAATGTTATAACCAATTGTAAAAAAAAATTCACTTTAATGGACAATTTCTATGTAAAACAAAGTTAAACGAACACTAAACTTTGATTAAAACAATGATTTTTTAGGAAAAAAATTTTTTTTTTTTACT